AGTAATCAACATGACTTAGAGAATCTGAAGCAAAAAAATCAGAGATATGAAGAAGCAAAAACTTTCACGGTTCATCAAGCAAGAGAGAAGCATTATCAAGACATTCACAGGATGTGCTATGTACTTAAACCTCTTATGCAATATAAATGATAATGCAGTCCTAATATGCTCTAGACTCAATCTTATATGAAAAATAAACAAAAAGATGCAGATAGAATGAGGTTATATGCATGTTCTTTTTGTTTATGAAAATTTTTAATGTAAAAATGGATGCAATGCAAGGAAATGCAGAAAATGCAGGATGCTATACAAATATGCAAAGAAGAAAGGGGCAAAAGAAACAACTGTGCATTAGTGACAATTAATGTGTGTATGTCCTTTAACTCCCCCAGACTTGTCTCTCACTGTCCTAGTGAGACAGAGCAGAGAAAGGGGACTAGAGGAACACAACAACAACACACACTAATGAGGAAAACAAAAATAAAGAGAAGCTAACGGAAAAAGAAAATAATACTAAGCTATTTACAAAGGTAGGTGGTACCTTTTAGTTGTATTGAGGAACGAAGGTTTGAGGAGGAGGGGCAATGATCACCTGATCTCGTGGTAACGAGAACTGCATGTTTCTAACACAATCAGCTGTAGAGTACTTGAGCTGGGGGAGGAAACACAACAATGGGGTGTCTTCATCTTCCATATAACGGTAAACTAACTTGTTTGGGTACAACCTTCCTGCTAAGGTGTGAGTGGCTACCAGATAATCAAAGTCCATCTTGGGGATATGTTGGAAGTGCCGATGTAGGTTCAAATCAATCCCACATGCGGCAAAGATGGGGGTTAGCAAACCGCCAATACAAATCTGATTATCTGGAGTTGCAACGGCATCGTGCTTGGCCTTAAAAATCTGGTTGAGTAACCAGGAGGCTACTTCAGGTCGCATCCAGGGGCGGTTCAGCGGCTTTCCGTATCTGTTGTTTAACCATCTTTGGGTAGCTCCATACACCATTCGTAAGTCTGGTTCCTTGGCTCGGCATGACTGAGGCCTTGCAAACATGGTGTTGCTTAGGAGTCTCAAAGCATAGCGGACTGTAGGGTTCCTGACCTTTGAGATCCTGCAGAGACTGAGGTGGTAGATATCATCGTTGTCAATGTTCCTCCAGACAAAATCAGCGTCGTCCCAGTAAGGACTAGTTCGATAGGTGTCACCAATTATTCCGTATATTACGAGGAACTTGGCATAAGACAAGGAGTAGTGACTCTGCCTTATCTTGAACGAAATTCTCCCCCATCCAGCAGAAGATAGGAGGCAGACACGAGGAATTTCCTAGTGAGGGAGGGGTAAGTGTTGTACTCCATTGAAGAAAGAGATTTGAAGTTCAATTGTTCAGCGAAGTTGTCGAGGCTATCTCTGATCCCCATCTCAAAGAGCACTTTCCTGCAGGCGAACTTTGTTGGTACCATAGGGGTCTCGCTGAGCCTTGTAGGAAGGCCCATTCAGCATCGCTCCACATGTTAGCCCTATGGTACACTTCGTCCCCACTTGAAGAGCTTGATGCACTTATGCTTCAGCAAGTTGAAATCTTTAACCGGTATGGCTTCTCAGGGAGAGGAAGTTGTGAACGGAGTACCTTTTACAGAAAGAAAGTAAGGGTTTTGTGTTAGAGCAGACCATTAAAATGGGGGAAAAAAAGCTAGGTTGCGAATAAACAGTTTCTGAAAAGGGGAGAAGGCGATAAAAAGGGGAAGAAGAAAGAGTTAAGGATAGAGAGGGAGAAAATATAATATAAAAAAGGGAAAACCCTGGCTGCATTAACTAAACCAAGGTCTGGTTTTGATGGAACCAGGATAAACTGGGATTAAGAAAGAAATAACTAGGTTTGTGTGATCCGAAGGTTGGTTGGAGATCGAATCAATCCTGCAGCCCGGTATTCCATTTGTACCACCTGGAAATTGTTGAGCTTGATGTTTTTGTGTACCAATATCGTACTCATTGATCATTTTCTGTGAGCAACGTAGTACATCGGTTAAATCCGTCGGTTTAGACCGGTGACCACTGCGAAGTCAGACCCCTGTCTGATTTGCCACCTCAATCTCTCCGTTTTTGCCTCGAAACTTCTTGTAAAGTCTGTTGCTGGAGAATGGTAAAAGAGAGATAATTTGGA